ATCTCCTGATTGGATCAGTTTTTCATCACTCCTCTGAGTAGATGAGACAAGACTGTTTGTTTAGACCTCATGATGGTTGGTTCCATGGCATATCAGTGTCTGTTATAGATAGGAATCCCTCCATATATTAAAAAAAAATCATTTTAATTCATTCATAGGCCATATGGCTGCAGTAACATTTGTTAAAAAAAATTTAAAAAACACTTAACTGAATTACTTTTCATACTTTCATTTATGCATAAAATTGTACGCCACATAAAGAGTATGTAATTTCACAGTATATCCACCTCCTAAATTACTACACCACTTGTCCAGTCACAATTCACAATGGTACAATTTACTCAGCCCGATAGTTTGTGAAACGTGACATTTTTTTTGTATGACATTAAAATTATTTTTAGAATGATTGTACATAAATAGGTTATGCAAAACGTGATTATTTTTGAGAACCTTTTTTACGACTTTTATATAGGCTGTACTTAACTGCAGGCACGGAATGACATACACTATGTGGTACAGTACAAATATTTTAGCATCCCTTATTCTGTCCCTTATTCTCCTATAAAGAATCACAATTGTCCCTTGTTTTCATTTTCTGAAGTTGGTAACCCTAGCTGCCAGTGGTCCCTTCTGATTGAGGCCAACCATTTATTCAGCTAATCTAACTCCTTTGGGATCAAATCAAATTGTAGAGCGGAGTTTCTCTGACGACTGTTGTTAAAGTCAACAGCACAGCATATACTGGGCATATTGTAATCTTGTTGTGAACCTTCTGGGAGTGTTTTGTTGATCTTCTGGTAGTTGTGGCTGCTGTGACCATAGACTGAAAAAATGGTGGCAATAAAGCACTGTGATGTCACATGGTCTGAATGAATAAGTGCTGTAGCTTAATTTGTCAAATATTCCACCCCATCATTGGAGAAAACGTTCATCACGTTCATCAAGAAGGTGTGTGACGCTGTAAACCAAGCAATGATAGTAGTAGATGTTATAGAGGAGCAGGATGACCTCCTTTTATAAGTTTACATTTAAATTTTTACAATGTTTTTGTAAGTATGTATTATTGTATTTATGTATTTTGTAGGTAAATACATAAGTAGGCTTATAATAACAGTAGATACATCTGGTTTTAATATATTTTATCAGGCTATAAATATGTGACTATGTTACAGCTTCCCCTTAAAGCTCTTGTCTTTTTCTCCTTTTCCATCTTTCCAGTCCTATTCTGCTCACAGGTGACTGGAGATGAGTGGAGAGTGTGTGTCTCCCGCTTTGTTGCACATTGCTCACATTCTACTTGGAAAAAATGTCTAGAACGCCACTCGAAGTCAGACATTCGACCTGTGAATTCGGGGCAACATCAGCAAGACTGTGTCCAGCGAGCATAGAGTGGAGCTAACCCATCTCAAACTTAAAAACATAAAATTAAGTTTATAAAATTATACTTTATTTCTTTTCGTTTACTGTTTTCAAAACAAACGGCAGCATTTTATGTTAATTATTTTCTATTTTTGCCATAATTGACACAAAAACACAAAATACTCTTGTTGTGTCATGGCGATATCATGTGTTCAATATATATTTCAACTCGAATTATCCCACATCCGACTTTGTCTCGAACGCAGCATAAAAGCAGTGCCGTCTCTTTAAAATCCGTTGCACATGACACGGATCTGAAACGCATCTGATTTTCTCCCAGTTCTTTATGGTCATTTACGACTTTTGAACTCATTTAAGACTGTTTATGAAAGTCACTCACCAAAAACGGTCATTTTGACATAATTTTTTGTGTTTTTGCCCACGAAAGAGAACTCAATGCGCTGCTGGTGTGCATCAGAAACGGCTTTCTCTGTGTTTGCACGTCAGATGCCGGTGTTCATTGACAGCTGTTTCACAGACAGCGCGCCTGTACCAAATTAACTTCTCTTTTGTGTCTTATCGTGCTTAATAGTGTGTTCATATAATCTACTGCAGTGGTTCTCAAACTGGGGTACATGTACCCCTGGAGGTACGCGAGGTGATGGAGTGGGTACGTGAACAAAACACTGAGTTTTGCCATTCATTTTATTCTACCCAAAATTAAATTAACATTAATAGGGAGTACGCATTTCTGACAAGCAAAATGCCGCTTCTAGTATAAAAACAGCAAAATGGGAGTGCCGTAAACGCTCAAAGACATCCAATCAAATGATCTTTTACGATCAAAACTGACTGAATGCATTCACACAGCATGCATATGGTGCCCGCACACTTGCTGCTTTTGAAAAGCAGTGCGATTTGCTATGTATCTTGAAAGTAAGTTTTAGCACTTAATAGCATAAAGATCAAAACACACAGACATGGAGTTCAATTTAAGAAACTCATCGATATGGAAACCCTGTGTGAGTTCTTGTATTTCGAATTTAAAATACAAGCAAGAATGCAATTTTCCCAAACGATTGCAAATGTAAAAAAATTGAAAAATGAAAAATTGAAAAATTTTCAATGGGATTTAAATCTGGAGACTGAACAGGCCACTCAAGTACAATAGAACAAAGATACAAATTAAACAATGCTTTAATTCTTTTCAGGTTTGTCAGTATTAAGGTACAAAAATTTAATAAATATATATAAAATAGCATTGCATAGTCTTCACTGTATACATTGAAAATAGGCTAATGCTACAAAAGAGCAGTGAGTGAATTTCTCTCTCTCTCTCTCACTGACAGCATTTAGTAAATTACAAAATGTATATTTGTTAGCGTGTCTCTGGAGACACCCTGCTGAGTTGGCTGACGTCTCACTCCCTACGAACACTATCTCTTGAGACTAAGATCTCTAGTGTTCCACTACACCTGCTGCACAGCAGTAACAGACTGTGACGCTGAATCAACGGTATGAGGATCCATCTGCAGTTTTATTGACAAAGAGTTATCATACAGACAAGAGATGACTGCTAGCAAACAGTAACACAATGGGGAAAGACGAGAAAGTAAACCAAATAGGCAGGCAAGGGTCCTGGGCAGGCAGCAAAATATCAGAATACGATAAACAGGCAAGGGTTGAGGCAGGCGGCTTAATATCAGAGTCCAGTAAAGGGTCAGGGCAGGCAGCGATAATCAAATGGGGTAAACAGTCCAAGATCAAACACGTATATAACAGTCCACAAGAAATAACGCTCAGAAATGATCACCTAGGCAAATCAAGACTTCACAATGAGTGAGCGTGTATGATGTGCTTATATGGTGTGAGTGTAATGTGATACAGGTGTGAGTGTGATCAGTCCCAGGTACATGGGCCAATGGGAAATGTAGTCCGAGAATAGATAAGAGTCAATATTCAGGTGACGGATCCCTCTGGTGGTTCAGAGGAAGTGGAGCAGGAGCTCCATTTGTGACAGACAGGCTACAGACAATGCTTTTAAATATGCTTTAATCACAGCCGGGAGGACTTCATATCAATCACAGAGAATCCTCCCAACAAGAAGAATACAACAGTTTATATAGCATAGGTGCATGGCAAAGATGACATGATTCATTACATCATTTTCTTCTAATATATTAGATTTTTCTTATGTGCAATTCAGCAAGCCTCCTCTCTGTTACTGGCAAAATAAATTTGGTTTTTGATTATTTCAGCTTGTTACTTAAATCATGGCCAGTCTTTAATGTCTTTTACACATTCTGTTAACTTGGAAAATGTAGAAATTTCATCTGGTTAGGAAAAAAATATTTGGTTTGAACACAATGTTTATGTGCAGACATCAGCAATATTACGTGCCTCTGACTCTTGCTCCTATGGTGACTTATGGCAGTTAAAGTGAAAGTGTTGCTTACTGTCATGTTTATTGACCTTGTTCCTGTGTTTCTGTTCCCCCTTGATTGCATTTTTACGTCATTAGTCCCTCATCTGTGTTTGTATTAAGTCTCCCTGTTCAGTTGCTGGTTATTTTTTATGTGTTTATGTGTATTGGTTTGCCCGTCTTCCTGGATTTCCTGTGTAGCGTCTCGACCAATCTGACACACTAATTTTTAAGACAGTTGACCCTGAGTGGTCAGCTAAATATCTACAGTGGATCTAATATATGAATAGTTAATTATAACTAGTTATGGTTAATTATTCATATTTCCCCATGAGCTGATTCGCTACACCTGTCTGTTCTCCTGTGGATTATCATTAAAGACTGTGTGATAGTCAACTCCTGCATTGTGTGCTTGATCTCCCACCAGCAGGTGACACTTGGGTGGATCCCTCTGTGTTGTTTTTAGATCTGTGCCCAGTGGAAAATTTCAGTCTGTGCAAACAGGCTTAATCATTTCAGATCCTATGCTGTCAGTGTCTTCTTGCTGTGTGGATTACAGAGAAGAATTTGGTAAGAAAAAAAAAATAACAGGCTACTTGTCTCCAATGTAATTTTAATACTGTTTCCTCTAAATGTTTTGAAAATTTTGAAAAACTTATGACAGCAAAGTCTTTCTGATTTTACACAGAAATACTCCAGTTTCCAGTTTTCTTGTCACCATTAACCACTATGAAACAAGGCTAATGTCTGCTATGCTTCTATTCATACAGCAGTGAATTTCACATCTGTGAAGGAAACTACAGCTTCGTGGTCTATTAATTCTTCCTACATCTTGTTTCTCTGAAGATTAACCGTGATATTAAAGAAAGGTGAGATCTTTCTATCCTACTTTGATATTGACTCATTTACTTTTTAGTTGTGTTAAATACAATGATAATTCCAGGAGTGTAATAACATTTATTTTGAAATAAGACAACATTAGGTAGAATGGGACATTAGGTAAAATGTGAAATAAGTCTTCAATATTTAATATTCAGTCACTGCAAACTGTTTACACTGTCAACTAATCAGCCAGCATGTTTGCCCTGAAATTGAAGGGGACTTCTGACATTAAATGTAAAGCTACAGGGCTTAAACTTTTTAAATTTTTTCCTACATATGTTCTATGGTGTTTAACATTTTTGACATGGTTATTTTTTTAATTTTTTAATTTTTTTAGATGGCTACATTTGAAGATGACTTTAAAACTCAAATGAAACTGCAGGATCTCAAAGAATTAATATCTACTCAGGATCTCTCATCAGCGATAAACACGATCAAAAAATACCTTGATCAGCAAGATTTTGTAGAACTAAACGTTGCTGTGACAGGAGAGTCTGGTTCTGGAAAGTCTACTTTTGTAAATGCATTCAGGGGTTTGAAGAATGACGATGAGGGTTCTGCCGAAACTGGTGAAATTGAGACAACTATGAATCCTGAAGTTTATCTTCACCCAAAATATAACAATGTAAAAGTGTGGGATCTTCCTGGCATTGGAACACCAAACTTCAAAGCTGATGAGTATCTTGAAAAGGTTGAGTTTGAACGCTATGATTTTTTCATAATCATCGCTTCAGATCGGTTCAAGGAATGCCACACTCAGCTGGCTAAGGAGATTGTGAGAATGAGGAAAAAGTTTTATTTTGTTCGTACTAAGATTGACTCAAGCATTAAAGCTGCAAAGAGGAAGAAGACCTTTGAACTGAAAAAGACACTGGACGCCATCCGAGAGGACTGTGAAAAAGGTTAGTTATTCAGTTATTGACATGACAATGATTTGAGCTACAAAAATGTTTAAAATTGTCTTCAAAAATATTTGATTATATACTGTATATAATTATAACTAGTTATGGTTAATTATTCATATTTCCTCATGAGCTGATTCGTTACATTGCTCATGTTAAAAATAAAGACTGATAATCATATGTATCTTCCTATTTATTAAGATACATTAATTATTACAAAAACATAGCCCTTTTTTAACTTTTTACTTTTTATTCTGTCTAGGTCTGATAGACATCCCGAAAGAGGGTCCTGTCGTGTTCCTGATCTCTGGCTGGAAGCTTGGAAAGTATGATTTCAATCTGCTACAAGAGAGGATGGAGGAAGAGCTTCCACAGCATAAGAGACGTGTGCTGATGTTGGCTTTGCCGAATATCACACACGAAATTAATGAAAAAAAGAAGAAATCTCTAGAGGAAAACATTGGAAAAGTTGCCTTCCTCTCTGCTTGCATGGCTACAATTCCTGTTCCTGGTCTTTCATTTGCTGTGGACTTAGCCATCATTGCAAGAGAGCTGAAAAAGTACTACAGTGCATTTGATCTGGATGATCAATCCCTGCAGCTGCTGAGTGAAAGATCTGGGAAACCGGTAGAGGAGTTGAAGAGTCTGATGAAGTCACCACTGCGTCATGGGATAAACCAAGATGCAATATTAACCTTGCTGAAGACTTCATTACTGACTATGTCTTTAAGTGTAGCTGAATATGTTGTGAGCTTAATTCCCATTATTGGCAGTGTGGCAGCAGGAGGAATATCCTACTATACAGTGTCAATAATGCTGAGGAAAGCTCTGAATGACATAGCTGAAGATGCCGGAAATATGCTAATGGCTTCACTGGAGACTGGGGGTGTAAACAGAATATTACAGACTAGAAAGTCTATTCAACAGCATTTATAACCAACCAACAAGGCCGTCAAAAAGAAGAATAAGGTGGAGCGGAGAAACTGAAGACGACAGAGACCGGGTGAAGGGGGAACTCATCTCCACAGCTAAAGATCTGATTCGGTTAATTCGTCAACATGAGCGTATAAATAAGCAATTAATGAAATGGGTGAAACAATCAATTGAAGTTAATTTTAATTTAGAAATGAGGAATTTGAAAACGGTGCTGACTTTCTGAAGTTTCAGAAGGTCAACCTCATTTGCCAAAGACACATGAGGGGGCCTCTAGGCAGTTAGCTGACATCCTATCAGACAACATCCTGTCAGCAACCTATAACAGGTGTCACTATCTTGGTTAACAACTGTTAAGATGGAAAATGCTGTGTGCCTTGTTTACGCCTTCAAAAGTTGTTGCTATTATAACCTGAAGAAATGTGCTGCTGTAAGTAGGATAAAGGTTAGGCTTCCTGTGTTTGTGTTTAGGTAATCATAACAATGACGACCCCCCCCCCCCCCCCCCGCCTCTTATTGCTGTGGGGGGTGGGTTCGTTGTGGGGGGCTTTCTT